GATGAGATTTGCTTAAAAGCTTGCAAAGATAAGTTTTCTCAAGGAACTTCCTAGATAAGAAAGCATTCCTGAATTTCATCAGAAGGATTAGAAATGCTCTCAATAAAAAATTTTCCTTCGAATTAAATAAACCGAGGCTTTGTATCCCATGATAATATACACTTGTAGACAAATGATAAATTCTGATGATGAGATTTTTTTGAAAAGCTTGTAAAGATAAACTTTCTTGAGTAATTCTCTAGGTAAGAAATCATTCTCTAATTTCACCAAAATAATGAGAGAGTACGTGATTAGTTTTCAATAAAAGATTATCATTCGTTATTTAAAACCAAAATTTCACATCACTTATTCCATGATTACATCATGTGCGTCAAAAAATATTAAAATGAGACATGAATGATAATCCCTAATGATAAGATTTTCTCGAGAATCTTGTAAAGATAAGCTTTCCCAAGAAGTATTGATACCTGGCTTCCTAAGAACCTTTTAGATGAAAAGTATCGATACCCCCCAAGGTGGTATTGATACTTATAGTGTAGAACAACTTATTTACTCCTTTTTAGTGGCCTTTCACTTGTTTTTTATTTCCTCGTTTTAAATCAAAACTCCTAAATGACTTTGATTTCAATTAGAATCATTTGAATGAGTTTGGAAATAACATTATTTCAAGGATTTGGATGAAAATTGATGATTATTCCTAAATTCTTGTTTATATCAAGATTGTGATTTATGTTAAAGCACGTCCCTTTTGTCTTGTCCCATTCCCATGTCTACTCACTGAGTTTAATAACTCACACACGAAAGATGTACTTATTTATTTTAGATCAATAGATTGCTCAACTTACTGACTATCAAGAGAGGTCTCACAACTTGATTTTAGTAAGTGTGTTACAGCCTTTCTTACAATTTCTAGTGTTGAGTCACACTTCGTTGCCTAGTCGGGTATTATATATTTATTTACTTTTTCTTGTTGAGACTTATGATTATGCAGCCACTGTTGGCAATACCTTTATTTATTTACAGATGTTATATGATACTCATGTTAAGCACTAAAAGTGGTGCGAATGATTAGAGTTTTACTAGTTATGAGACCATGGATATTAATAAGCATGGGGAATGTGCCAAATTATTGATAATGTGAAATGTGGATATTGATGAATGAATACATATTTATATATATGTATTTCTTGTGTTGTATGATTTGTGTGAAATGGTGTACACGAACACCCACAAGTGCAATGAATGGTATGGCCTTTCACTTGTTTTTTATTTTTCTCATTTTAAATCTAAACTCCTAAACGACTTTGATATCAATTAGAATCATTTGAATGAGTTTGGAAATAACATTATTTCAAGGATTTGAATGAAAATTGATAATTATTCCTAAATTCATGTTTATATCAAGATTGTGATTTATATTAAAGTATGTCCCCTATGGCTTTTCCCCTTCCCATGTCTACTTATTGAGTTTAATAGCTCACACACGAAAAATGTACTTGTTTATTCAAATCAATAGATTGCTCGACTCACCGACTATTAGTGAGGTCTCACAACTTGATTTTAGTAAATGTATTCGAGCCCTTCTTATGATTTCTAGTGTCGAGTCACACTCCGTTGCGTAGTCTAGTATTATATGTTTATTTAATTTTTCATGTTGAGAGTTATGATTATGTAGTCACAGTTGGCAATACCTTTATTTATTTTACAAATGTTATATGATATTGAGCACCAAAAGTGGTGTGAATGATTAGAATATTACTAGTTATGAGACCATGGATATTAATGAGCATGGGGAAGGTGTCAAATTATTGGTAATGTGAAATGTGGACATTGATAAATGAATACATACTTATATATGTATTTCTTGTGTTGTATGATTTGCGTGAAATGGTGTACACGAACACCCACACGTGCTGTGAATGGTATGCACATATAAATGAGATGTGTAAGGCTTATTTGGATCTAATAGACTATATTCATATAGACCTTCATGGCCCGAGAATAGGTCGTGACATCCATTGTCCTAGATATTCAAATTCTCAATATCTCTCTTTAAGTTGGTGATCTGTTGCTACCTTGTCTTTTCAATCCCTACGAACTCTTGATCTTTTCCCAAGCTTGCTTTGGTGCATCGCAAGCCATGATCTTTGTCAAGATCACATCAGAAACACCGTTCTGAATATAAGATATGGCCTTCAACTTTTTGACGCACTCGTCATTGTGTGCTTAATCTGTCCAATGGTGGGATTAGCCTTCAAAGGTGGAGGATCTATTCTCGTGTTTACTACATCCCACAAGTCATGAGCTTGCATGTTTGTCTTCATCTCCACAACCAAAATGTGATAGTTCTCTCTGGACAAAAATGGTAGCGGAGCAGGGGAAAAGCAATTAGAAGCCATTTGAGGTGAACTCAGAAGTGTTTATGATTTTTGGCAAGTGAATCTCAGTTGTTTTCTCTCAAACTCTAGTTTTTCAACTCACTCACAAGCCCCTCAAGACCCTTTGATGCTCTAATACCAAATTTTGAAAATGTCAACGAAACTAAAGTTCCCAAAGCTGCTCAAGGATTGCAGCAAAGGATCAATGATTCTACTATCAAAGGGCACAGCACACTGGTCATAGAACCAAATCTGCAAAACAAGGTGAATGAAAGATGTTTGCAGAATAACAATCACACAAAAAAGTCTCAATCAAAGCAAAGTTTGTAGAGAAAAGAAAGCAAGAAATCGCAGCACAAAACAGAACTTAATGGCTTGGCATTTCTCATTCCAGCAGCTAACATATTTATCCACAAGTGCAGTTTACAAAGGCATCAACTACTCATACTTAGTCTGATGCATCGTCTCCCGTAACTCACACAAAAAACATCTTAACTTATATTACACCAAGAATTGTAAGTTGACATTACAAAACATGGGAATTGAACCAAAAGTCAAATATAGCAAAAGAACCATGCATAAGGCTAAACCATAAACTGCAAATGCTGCAGAACCAAAAAATCTAACTAAGCAGAGTGGAGTAAGGCTTGGACAAACGTTGCAGGCAGTAGCTTAATTGAGATGAAGTTGGTATTGTAAAGCTAGCACAGCAAGCAAACATGAAACTTGAAGTAAACAACCAAGAATAAAGCAATTCAGACTTGATTGAAGCAATAGAGAAAAACTTGTCTGCAATGAGGCCTGGTGCTGGAAATCAGAACTCGGTAGCTGAACCAAATCTGGTTGCAGCACAGCCAGCCATACTCCAACACTGGCTCTGGCTGAAGCATTAGCCTAGAATAAGTCCAGTTTCAACATATGTGGATCGGTAAGTTAAGCTTTCCCGACCATCTGAACGAATGCCTTGAGGAATTTCCACCTTGGACGTACGAAATCTTTTACTGCAACAGAAAGTCCCACCATTTCTGCAAATGCACATAGAAGCAAAGAACTTTAGCTTGGGTTTTAGGCTTGGAAGAGGAGAGGTGCAGGCTGTACCGTACCTGAACCGCAGAGCAAATAGTTTGGGCTCGGCACGATCCAGTAGGTTTTATCTTATTGGCCCATAGAATAAGATTTGGATTCAAGGCTATTCAGCCTATCAACAAAAATGTTCTGATTTAGCATCCATATAAATAAATAAACAGTGCAACCATCTTTTTCTTTATATCAAGTTGCAGTCTTCGGCCACCACCTGTTTCAACTGAAAAGATTCGTGACCAAACACACTCAAAGTACAAAAGTGCATTTAATTTTCACTGCTAAATACAGATTCACACTCCACCTTTCGGGAACACAATTCATTATTTTAAAACATTCAACTCCACTGTTTTTTGATATTTTGACTTGGACTTGTCAAAAGCCCAAACCTGTCAAAATCCTATACTGACGTACTGTCTTTTATAACTACTCCATTTAGATGTGAAAATTGCACGGTGCATGTCTAGCACTCACTTTACCCCTCGATATCTTCAAAGGAAAACCACTGTCGTAGGCTACATTTCGAATTGATTGTAATTGGCTTAGGCCTTTGAGTAGGAAAAAATAAAAACGAACCCAACCAAGCTAATTAAATATGCCTAAGTGCATATAGGGAGGACAACCAATTAATTAATGTATAAATATGCCAGGGTTTGTCATTTATATGGGTTTAGTAACGCCATCGCCATTGCTATTTGGCGATAGTCGCATGGCATACCCTGACATGCCTGCACGCATGCTGCCTTGCCCATCAAGATCCCAAGCAATAATACTAACATAAGATAGGAAGCACATATATATATATATATGTATATATATATATATTAGGTCCAATGTAGCAATGATGGGCCGAGAGCTTCATTATTATCATAATGAGACTGAAGCTTGAAAGCAGAAAAGAAAAGGAGCCAGATAGAAACTTTTTTGAAGAATGCATTGTTTTACTAAAAGAAAGAATACATAATAAGAAACGAAATGTGGTGGGATGGAATCCTACAATTACTCAACTACCAAAACGATCATGGAGACCCTACCTGCCTACTCCCCCTACCCAATCAAAACCCTTTTCCAGCTCTCTCCACTCCCCCCCTAAAAATTAGACGAAATAAGGAAATGAAAAATAAAGGATTTTCTTGGCAATTTCCTTCCCCTCAGATAAATAGAGCCAAGTACAAGTACAAAAGAAAGGCACAACTCGAAAGAGACAAGATATAAGAGAGAGCTACGGACCCAAAGGCTTTGTTCTTCCTTCCTTTTACCGCTTGTTAATTATAGTCAAAAACGCCAAAACCAGTTCCCTTGAGGAAGTCACGAGCCAGCACTCGACACTCCCCACTTTGATTTTTATTTTTTCGAAACATAAAAGGTCCCCAAAACAGCGTGTCCCACGCCCACTACATCCCCCTTCACCTGCTCTATCAATGTCACTTTCCCACCCAAAGTACAGTTTCCTGACTCACTTCCCTTCCCTAACCTCACCCTGCTGTCACCATCGCCCCCCTACCCGCCTACGCCCTAAAATCACTAGCCCTACTCACTATCCTACTGTGCACCGAAATCCCACAAGTGTATCGTCGTGTCACCACTCGCTGCCGCCACGTGCCTTTCATCTGACACCATCGCGTTGACATCCCCAACGTTCTCGCTGAAACTATACAAGCGTCGCCACCATTCTCATGCTCTATCTCCACACCCTTATTACACCCCGGCGCACATTAGCGCGTATCCTAAGTTCATGCACCCCATGACGTTTCTCTCCCCCGTGTTAAACCTACACACCTCCTCCAACGTATCCACCCGGCGCACGATAGCCCATCCACGGCTGTCCACCGTAATGAACGCCTCGTCGTTGGCATCGAAAGAAGTCACTGTAAGTTCTCTCCTAGACTGTTGGTCATGCAATGGAAACTCCGGATTTCTCAAGTCCAAAACCATGTACCTCAAACTCGTACATGCCACGGCCGATTCCTGACTCGTCACCCTGACTCGGCCTATGGTTTCAGTCAACTCAGTCAACATGTGCCACCCCATTACGGCTCCTGGGTCAGTCAAAGTGGTGTTCACGTAAACTAGCTCTTCAGTGTTACCATCCCAAATGTGGAAAGCCCGGCCCGGGACCCCTGCATAAAGGCCCACCCACCAGCGCTCACAACCGGTGAAGTCCACCAAGGCACCATCGTCCAAAACGTTACCCATGTGGCCCTGCGCGCATGGGGCTCCCCGTCTATGACCGCAACGTGGATGTCGCCATCCAGGGTGGCGAAAATGAGCCTGGGGTCGGTAATCACAATGCCGGATACCGCGCGTGAGAAGCGGCCGAAGCGGTCGCGGTGGTGGGGACGGAAGGTACTGACGTGTAGGCGGGTGGCGAGATCGAAGAGGCGGACGGTGCCATCAGCGAAGCCGCAAGCAAGGTGGGTGTCAGAGAGGGTAAGGCAACGGCACGTCAGCCCATCTGGGGTGTCCACGTCGGATGGATCGAAGTGGAGGGTCTCGTGAAGTGATCTCCCAGCACGAAAATTCTGAGCCGTTTGATGACGGTAAATGTATTCCTCACGCCACGTAGCGTGCATGCGATGGGTCCGGCCCCATATAACGCTGGTGAGACGGTGCCACAGTGGATCAGAGCGAGAGGTAGCTTGCCACGTGGAACAAACCTGCATGCACAGAAACGAGCCAAGTACAAATGTTCAGCTCATGCATCCACGTAAAGTCTTTATAAAAATTTTAGGGTTGCAAAGATAAGAGCAAAAATAATGGAAACTAAAGAGCGAGGAACATGCGGAAAATGGATAGAGCCAGCCAAAATTCAGGGGGGATTACCGAAAGATGACGTAATACGTAAAATTTGAGTTCGACCAGTTATTTATTGCTGAGTAAAGGTTTCGAGGGTCGATAACTAAATGAAGAGAGAAGCGGCAGCACAAAAAGCTTTCAGCAAGCAGTGTTTGGCCCCTGCGCTTTTCAACAGTGCCATGCCATGCGCGTAAAGCGCTTTTAACAGAGAGGAGTTGCAGCTGGCCGCGCAGAGGCTGGTAGCAGAGACTAGGCACTAGAGAGAGCAGAGAAGCATACGTGAGAGTGAACAAGAAGCTTGTTTTCGGTTCAGGTGTCAGAATCAACCAGAGCTTTTCATAAAAAGATGATGGCAATAGCTTCTTTTTTTCTACAAAAAAATTGACCACATTTTTCATTTTCAAAATCTCATATTGGAATCGACTTGTCTTGTAGCATAGACTCGTAGTAGTACAAAGACCTAATCACATATCCTGCTGTCAGGGAGACTGTGACAGCTCTTTTTCCCCTTTTTTTTTTCTTGGTTCCACGGAGAGGCAGCAAGAGAACAAAGATAGAAAATTAGCTGTTGCTGCCAGAAAAGACAAAGAATCTCCGGGTCAGGTGGTTGAAGTGAAGGAGGAGAAAGACTTCGTGAAGACCACGACGATGAGAAAATGGGAAAAGTTTTGGGAGAGGAAATTATTTTTTTATTATGAGTTATGAGACGAAGGAACGGAAAGGGGCATGGACTAAGCTGTGGTCCATACTCCATAGGGAGTTTTTATCAATCCAATCCAAAAACCAAAGAAACGCAAGCTTATTTATATAAATATATTTGTATATAAAACATAGGATCGCAACTTTTACGCGTGCTTCCCTATTTACATATATTTTCTCTCTCTTTCATTTCCAAGAAAGGGTTGGCCAAAGCCCTGTCTCGTTAAAAGCACAGAATCTAATAGCCTTCGCAGCTTCCCTTTTTTCTGCTCTTTCTTTGACTCCTACCCCATACTTCCACTTCCCACATACCTGCTCCAGTCCCTCCTAGCATACGTTTCACTTGTTATTTGGGACCATCTACGCATGATTTATTATCATAAAAAGACCGGGATTTCCCCCTTTCTTTTAAACATTCATTAATGATTAATATGATTGTTTATTTCTTAATAACTGACTCAACATTAAAACAATGGAATCCAAAATTCTTCATCTAGTCTTTTGAGTTAAACTTTCTTAGGGTTTCGGACTCTAGGATAGCCTATTCACATATACACAAGAGGAGCCATAAATAAACAAGTCAGCAACTGGGCTCTGGGCTTCAGCAAATGGAGAAGACCGACCTTATCCAGATGAACAGGAGACATCAGTTTTAAAAATACCCAGCATTGGGCTCCATGTGCTTTTCGGCATTGCACATGCTGGCTTTTGACTGATCCCATCCTTTTAATAGAACCATCAAGTAGTGAGATCTAAAGAACCATAAAGCCTTAGGCAAAGGCTTAAATGTTTCCTCATTGAATATTACTACTATAAGACTATCTTGCTTTATGATGCTATAAAATTATTATCATCTAGCTCTTCATATTATTCTTGATTTCTTCATTGTTGGGTCACCATTAGAAAAATAATCATCATTTGAATTTAGAACAATGATTTATAGTATGATACTATAATTTAAAGTTTCTTTCTACGCTAAATGCTACTAGTAATTTTCAAGAAATCTGGTTTCACTTTACTTCCAAATCTCCTTGTTACCAAAGCTTTCCATTAACTTGCTCCTGCAATGAGATTTATTATTGCTTGACCGGGGTAACAACTGCAGAAGCGCCTGATCTCGTTTGACACATAAAATGACAGACATTATCATATGGCAATGTAGCATGAAGCACTGAGCATGCTGTAAACTTGGGGCAAGAGAGAGAGAGTACTACCTATACCTAATCTATTCAACATACATATATATATATATATATATTTATGTATGTGAACAGGCAACGAATTCCCGTATATATCAAAGAAGGTTCCAACATATCCAATGCTAACCAAATATAGAAATGTTACGCTTACATGAGAAAGGCAAGAGACATACAACAGAGCCTATCGCCTTAAATCATGCTAAATGCTACATAATTCCCAACACGGTTAAAAATTAAAGTAGACCTCAAAGGTCTCTTTCTTCATTTGAGCACTAGGAAAGAAAGAATCCCATGGATTTCCCAGATGGCTAACAAAGGTCAGTCAAAAAAGTTAAGGATTTGTAGAGCTTAAAAAAGGATCATGCCAAGAAAGGGAAAAAGGAAATTCAAAAACCAAAAGAGCCCTTTTCCGCTACTCAATATATGAAAAGAGGTTCAAAAATAGACATTTCGAAAGTGGTAAAAAGGAAATAACTAACATCGCCAAGATGAAACCACACCATCCGAAAGGGACACAAATTTGTTAGAAATGGACCCATGGAAAGTCAGTTCCCTTCCAAAGGCTGTTTCCCCTTGGATGCTAATAAATCCAAGACTTGACACTATATATCCGCATTCACTCTGCTCTCTTTCATTAAATATAATTTTTCAAGTATGAATAATGAATGAGAAAAGAAAAAACAGAAATCAACATAGTCTGCAAAATTGCAGTACATCTTCAGGTTTCAAAACGACGTTTTCGACCAGACTAAGATTTTGTTCTTCCCCGGAACATCCTACCTTCTTAATGTAGTGTGCTAGCCTATGACAATGCTATGAAGATTGGAAATGAAAACAACAAAATTACATTTTTACTAACTATGTTCCCGGTTGATAAACTCATATGATATCAAAACGAAAATCCCAATCAAGAATTCTCTAATTCAATCAATTCTATATCCTTAAAGTCAACAAAAATATACTATGAAAAAGGGCATTGAAGATGATCAAAAACATACCTGAAACACATTGGCCAGTGCAGCAGCAGCAGCAAGGGACCAAGAGAACGATAAGCATCAATGGCGACTTGAACCACAGATCTTCAACAAAAGGCCCTGGCCATATTTCATTATTGGCACGTCTACGCCTCAAAGTTGGCCCTTCGAAATCACCACCTCTTCTTGCACCATTGCCATTGCCATTGCCATCTTCGGAAGAAGAAGAAGAAGATGATGATGATGATGATGAAGAAGGAGAAGAAGACATCAATAATAAGTAAGTGGAGAAGCTATAAAGGAGAAGGAAGAAATGGGCTACAAAGAAACAAGGACAAAAAGGCGTAGATAAAGACACAAAGTGAGGGACCCAAAAGAGGGTGTTTGGGATTCTTGGTTATATATGACAATATCACTTTATTAAGCTACGATGCAGACATGTTTTTATACACGTATAAATACACCGTCTATCAGTATATGTACGTAAATACACCCAATAAGGTTAATACTCGTGAAGGTTTTTTTTTCATTTTATGTAAGAGGCTCCCGCCCTGCAAAGACGGCGGAGAGTTGGTTTCAGGTTCACAAGAGAAACTGATGGACTTTTCAATTCGCCACAGTGTTTTCAGGTGCTTTTCTAGGCGTATCTCTCTTTTGTCCAACTTCTCTTTTATCGTCTGTTAATGCATTCAGGTTCAAGAAAGAGAAAAATAAACAACTTTGAAAAGCGAATATATATATCAAAGGCGTGTTTGGAAGGGATCTGATTCAGTACAACGAGTACCCAACTCGGATTTGTTAACGGACCTACTCAACCACTGTGTTACTCACAGGCTCACAGCAATCTTAACCAGCTGCCTAGCTACTAGGGCTCACTGGGAAACTGAAGTTTCACAACTCAATTTACTTTCAAGTTCTACTAATCTTTTAGGTGACCCTCGCCCTGGCCCTCACCCTGCTCCCCTGCCAAGTGCCGTAGGCCTTTGTTTCAAACGAGTTCTGGGATTTTTATGTCTTTACATTCAAATATCATTGCTTAATTAAAGGGGGAAGGACCCTGTTTCCCTCTACTAATATTTCTCTAAATGATTCATTAATGATTCCATTTCATGGGAACCCCGGTCAAAAACATTCCAGGGCATAAATGACACTAATTACAGGTATTGTACTATCAAATAAAAAGAGAGAATCTGCCAGGGATTGGCCAACAATGGTAGGCCTCCACAGACCATTTTCCTTCTAAGCATCTTTATGCTTTTCAAGATAATTACGTGAATTGGTTTAATTGCATTCAGGGGGATGAAACTGAAACTTCATGTAAGAGCTGGAAAACCTGAGCTGGCTCTAGGGTGGAGGTCAATTTTTAGGCAATTAGACTCGAAAAGTTGAGCTGCGTCTGGGTGCAGGTCATTTTTTCTTCATTAAATAGCATTTATGTCTTTTATAGTTTTATGTTCTTTGCATTTCTCTATTTCAACCAAATTATCACTTAATATCATTATTACCACCTTTCATTAACACTCGCAATGATTTTGATAACAACTATAATTTCATATAACACAAGACTCATGATGTTCTTTACACTTGCAATGTGAATATTTCAAATGATATGGATTATTGCAATGGTGTGAAATTATTTATGGGATATTGGTATTTGTTTTAAATAAAATAAAGAAAAACCTCAAGATTTGATCACTTTTATGAAAAGATAGGAAGTATATACTGTTAACTTTAGGATAAAGTTATTAGTCAAAATTTTAATTTAGAAATCCTGAATTTGAATTTCAAATTAAGAGTTGGAAGAGATGGAATTTATGAAATGAGAAAACAACATATGTTATCATACTTGCTTGGTAATCAATTTATTTTTCTTAGAAAATAAAAATCATGGAGTACTTAGACTCTCCTAAATGATGAATTATGGCTATTGATCTTGCTCTAGCTAACTTGATGTCGCAGGCAAGTAAGCACTAGAGAAAGAAGCATGGAGTCAAAATGGGGGAAGAAAGGTAAACTTGACCCTTTTGCATATGATAGGCAATGATATGATATAAATCTTGAGATAGAGCTCTCTAATGCATTGCCAAATAATCAATGGCTACCTTTCCATTCTTTCAAAAAAAAAAAATTATTGAGATAGAGCAAAACGTGTTAATTTAAATTTGGCGTGAACCTTTTTTGTCCCTCATCCTTGGGCATAAGCATATGATATGTGATCATTATTTGGCCATGTACAATTTCTTCCATGGAATCTCTTTCTCCGTGTATATATATAGAAGTCTTCGTGAGTTTGAATTCTAGCAATGATTTGCTAATGTAGGGTCTAGCAAGTGGCTAATTTCATGGCTGAACTAAGGGGTGTTTAATATTTTATTATATATATGTATAATTAGTAATGAAAGAATTTCTAATAATTTATGCGACTGTTGAGCGTATTTCTTATGAATTGAAAATTATGATATACGATATTTGATTCTATAAGAGATGTCTAGTGACCCGTTGCAGATAATTTCATAAATTAGAGAACAGATGAGCAAGTTTTGAGAAAAGTGTAAAAGGCAAAGTTCAAATCTCTCTTTATGAGGGCTTCTTGTAGCTTTAATCAAAAGATGGATAATTATTAATTAATAAATTGGCACAAGAACTACAACACTTTTGAAGTAAAAGGTCAATGTCTGATACTTCTTTCAGCTTTCCCTTGTTGACCAAACTTAATTGTACTTGGCAATTTTCAAAGGGTGGGAATGGGATTACAAGTTATTAAAGAAAGCGAGAAGGGAAAAAGGAGCAAGTCTTGAGAAAGGTGATACTGGTACTACTGTTATTTATTTAATTTGTGTGGGAGAGTTGGTTGTTTAGAGAAAAGAACAATAAATTCGACCAGGAAAAGAAAAATGTGACTGCAAGCTGCAACGTGCAAATCAAAGAGCTTGGAGGGTGGTGGTGGCGCTGGCACAGGTCCCTGGGAGGAGTGACATAAACATTGGGAGGAGAGTGGGGCCAGGCCAGCCAACCCAAGAACAAAGTCGTCTTTTTTGACTAGACCCAGATCAAGGCTGAAGGAGGAAGGGAAAGGGGTGGCATGCTCATGTCTTATCAACGAGTCTCGATGGAATAATAATTAGTGCTGGTGCAAATAAATTAAGAAAGAACTCTCATGATTTTTTTTTATTACATTGAAATATGCTGGCAGCTAGTAAGATAAAGAAGTGATTGGGCTTGGTGTTGGAGATTTGTTTTGTTGTGTTTTGGATTTTTGCGGCAAACAATGAGGGGTGGAAAGGGAACCCTCTCTTTTGCTTTGCAAGCAAAGTACAAGTTGCCTCAGCATCCTCTTTTCCAAGTTTAGAGAGAGAGAGAAAGAGAGAGGAGAGTACTGGGCACTGGGGAGGGTCTGGGCCTAGTCTCCCCTCCTACTCTGCTCTGAAAAACTACTACGTACACCAGGGGGTCCTACCAACTACAGCTACCTGGCTAGGGTTGAGTGCTTTTGGATGTTTGCTCTTTTCTTTTCTTTCCATTTCTTTTTTCTATTATATGATGTTCCCAGCAAACCCTAAACAGGTAAGAGAAACTAGAAAGGAGGACGGGAGAGACAGAGAGAGACTTCTTCACACTATTATAGTTAGTCTTATTTGATTTAATAAACTTCATTTACATTTTTTATTATTTTAATTTTTTATAATTTCTTTTCAATTAATATTTTATTGACTTTTTTTCAAGTAATAACATATAATTTTTTTTTTCATAAAAGTTGAGTTATTAATTTTGTCAAATGAAATTACAAAAATAAATATAAATAAATATGTTATCTTTAAATTGAAGATATTTAAATAATTTTATTAGTAAAAATTAATAGGCTCATTCTCTCTAAAAATGCAAATTATTCAAAATATGCTAATTGAAAAAAAAAAACTATAAGATATGATGTGTAAGTGAAGTTTAACCTTGACAATATTGTATTCGAGTCAATAAATATAAACGTATATTCCTTTCATTTTAAATCAAGATTTATTTTAAAAAATTTATTTAAATTAATATTTTAAAAAAATTGATTTTTTTTAATTTTAAAAATTAGACATTAACATTTTCCATATGGATATTGTTTTTCTTTGTAAGTCATCTATTCATCGTTCTATAGATTTAATTAAAACATATTTCACTTTCTTCATATTTATATGCTAACACATACATGATGTCATATTGAAAAAAGTTCACTCTAGTAAGAACCAGAAAATTTTCATTGTAAAATTGCATGGTATGATAGAAAAGGTCACATCTTTATCAATAACTCGGTAATTTTTTCAAATCAAAGTTAAGAAAAAGAAAAACTATAGTTTAATGCTAGAAGAGACAAAAATGAACCCATCCCTCATCCTAAAAAAAAAAGAGGAAAACACACGCGCGCACACACACCCTAAAGTAAAACTTTACTGCAGTCGATTACAATCGAGCAATTGACAACAATTGTCGGTTGTTTCAATTGACCTTGTCAACTGATCGACTCGGTCGTTAAAGGAGACTTCTTCCCCCTTGAGCCAACTGATTAACCTAAATTTCTCCTTTTTTAAAAAAAGGGGGAAAGACACCATTACCCTTCATTAAACCCCCCTAAAACAGCACAGCAACTGCAGCAATTCTTCCCACTTAAACCCCCTAATTTTCACTTTCTTTTCTTCATCTCCCTCTCATACTAAACCCTAAACCACCAGCCACTAGCCAAGTCACTTGGTCCTCTTCCGTTCTTCAACCAATGCTTCACTATCAGTCCAAATTGTTTCCAATCATCTATTCTAGCAAGAAAACTATAGTTTTTCTTTTTTTGTTATTGATTTTGTGAAAATAACAAGAGAGAGAAAGCTTGAGAGATTATGAATATGATATGTTGTTTTTGGCTTGTAAAAAATAATTTCAAGGGATTAGAAAAATAATAGGTTTGATTTTTAATTTTTGAAAACTGTAGATTATTTCAACCTTAGTTGACATTAAACATTTCAAAGACTTTAATAATTAGAATTATTGTTTGAATAATTAATTAAAATGATTTGATGCTAGAATTAAACATTAAGAATTATGTTTGGGAATTAATGTTTAGAATTATTATTTGGGTATTTAATTAAAATAATTGGTAATATGTTAGAATTAAACATTAAGAATTATGTTTGGGAATTAATGTTTAGAATTAATGTTTAGATTTTTAAATAAAATGATTAGTAATATGGTAGAATTAAATATTAAAAATTATGTTTGGGAACTAATGTTTAGAATTAT